CACTGTGCTCTAACCAACTGAACTAACCGGCCAGTGCATCTTTCCTTCTTAACATCATGTAAATGCTTGTCTTCTTTAGAATCATCATCATCATCATAAGTGATAAATGCTTAGTTTTCTTTATTATAGTATATTTGACCAAGGGCTGTTGCTTCTCTTGAAGTTAAGAAATGATATACATTTTCTACTAACTTGTTTTTACTTGCAGCCTGGTTTGCATTATATTAATGAATAAATTGTACAAATTAATAAATACTTTAGTAAAAGGTAAGATTTGCATAAAGATACTAACATGTGAGAAGGCATAAGGCCATGCTGGTTTTTTAGATTGTGCATTCCATCTCAAACAGTAGTTGAGTTAGTTATGTTCTCAAATGATGTTCCTTTTGTTCTCATTTGTATTTCCAAAGTAGCATTAGACATAGGTTTAGAGTATTGACAGTTAAGTGCAGTGCAATAATGCTTCATCAGATAAATAAGTGATATTGTAAAGCTTGTCAGCAGAGCATAACAACTACTCACATGTCAGTTTTAAAAGACAAGAACAGGTACCCAAAGGAGAAGAAGCTGTCAGACTATTAAGGCACTTAAGGTCAAATGTCCTTAGGTTTAAAATGTTTGAATAGGCACTTCTCCCTATTCTTTCTGGTAAATACAGTTTAAACTGTTGGACATTGTATATAAAACAAACATAAGAAGACTCTCAAAGGTGGAAAGGAGAAGGCTGACTAGCTAGGGATGATGGGACCCTAGGAAAGACATTCACCAGAGTGGTGTCAGCAGAGGCCTAGTGGGGACCTGAATTCTCATTCCCACACAGCAGTATCAAGGTGCCTCTTCCCCTCTCTGCCATGAGCAACAAAAGATGAGTGGGGAATCTAAATTTTCACCCTCATCTGGCAGTACTAGGCAGCTATCCCTTTCCCCTGCTGGCACAGTGTCACAGAAATCCTGCTGAAACAGATTTAAATAAGATCCAAAGTCTGATAACATAATACCCAAAATGTCCTGATTTCAATAGAAAATTACTCATCACCAAGAACCAGGAAAATTTCTATTGAAATGAGAAAAGAAAATCAATAGACACCAACCCTGAGAAAACATAGATGTTAGAATTGTCTAAGATTTTAAAGCAGCCATCACAAAAGGCTTCAATTAACAATTACAAACGTGCTTGAAACAAATGAAAAAATAGAAAGTCCCAGCAAAGAAATAGAAGCTATAAAGAGGAACCTAATGGAAATTTTAGAACTGAAAAGTACAATAATTGAAAATTTCAAGAAATGCAATGAATAGGTTCAATGGAGAATGGGGATGACAAAGGAAAGAATCAGTGAACTTGAAAAAGATTAATTACTTAATCTTAATGACAAATAGAAAATAGACTAAACAAACAAACAAAACTCCAGAGTATAGAGACCTGTGGGTCTGTATAATAAAAGAACTAACGTTTGTGTCATTGGAGTACCAGAAAGAGGGCAGGACTGAAAAATACTCAATGAAATAATACCTGAAAACTTCCAAAATTTGGCAAAAGATGCAAACCTGCAGATTCAAGAAGCTGAGTGAACTACAAACTGGATAAACCCAAAGAAATTCACATCAATATGTATTCTAGTTCTGCTTCTTAAACCTAAAGGCAAAGAAAAAATCTCTCAAAGAGAGAAATGACACATTGCCTGTAGGGGAAAAACAATTCATAAGACAGTGGATTTCTTATCAGAAAACACAGAGTCCAGAAAGAAGTGGCACAAAATTTTTGAAGGACTGAAAGAAAAGAACTGTCAGCCAGAATTTTATATTCAGTGAACAGATTCTATAGGAGGAGGGGAAAACAAGACATTCTCAGATAAAGGAAAAGTAAGAGAATTTGTTACCAGGGGACCCTACCCTAAAAGAATGTCTAAAGGAATTTCTTGAAACAGAGGAAATGATAAAAGCTTAGGAATCTCGGAACATCAGGAAGGAAGAAAGAACAACAGAAAGAGTGAAGATATAGTAAATATAATAGACTTTTTTCTCTTTTTGATTGTTCTAAATTGTGTTTGACATTTTTTCACCTTTTTCAATGTACATAGAGGAGATATTGAAAAGTTGGAGGAAAGATCAAATATATTACAAATCGGAAGGTAAAGGAACTTAAAGAAAGGTTAAAGTCTCTACACTTTACTGTAACTGGTAAAATGTTGACACCAGTAAATGGTGACAAGTTATGTAAAAGTAATGCCTAGAGGAGCCACAAAAACAAACAAAAAATTCACCAAAAAAACTATTCAAAGAGATGCATTCAAAAACACTTTAGATAAACAAAAATGTAATTTAAACTATGTTCAAGTAACCCACAAGAAGGAAGAAGAAAGAAAACGGATGAGAGAAATAAAAAATGAAATGGCAGGCTTAAATCCTAACATATCAGCGATTCCGTTAAATGTAAATGATATAAATTCACCTATTAAAAAACATAGATTTTCGGAGTGGATTTAAAAAATGATACACTGTGCTGTTTATAAGAAGTCATTTCAGTGATATAGTCAGTTTGAGAGTAAAAGGGAGCTTTATTTGTAATAGCCAAAAACTGAAAACAACCAAAATGCCACTCAGTATGTGAATGGTTAAACAAACTGTGGTATTTTCATACCATGGAATACTATTCAGTAATGAGAGGGATTAAACTATTGATACTCGCAGCAACTTGCATGGATCTCAAGACCATGATGCAGGGTGAAAAAAGGCAATTTGAAGGGACAGATACTGTATGATTCCATTTGTATAAAATGACAAAATTATAGAGATGGAAAACAGATTAGTAGTTGCTAGGGGTTAGGAATAGTGGGAGAAAGGATGGTGAGTGTGACTATAAATGGGTAGCACAAGATCCTTGTTGTATGGAATAGTTCTGTATCTTGACTTTGGAGGTGGTTACACAAATGTATAGGTGTGATAAAATGGTATAGAATGATACAAACACATTGTACCAGTATTAATTATCTGGTCTTGATGGTGTGCTATAGTTACATAAAATGTAACCATTAAGGGAAACTGGGTGAGCGGTATACTGTACCTCTATACTGTTGTACCAGTATTAATTATCTGGTCTTGATGGTGTGCTATAGTTACATAAAATGTAACCATTGAGGGAAACTGGGTGAGCGGTATACTGTACCTCTATACTGTTTTTGCAGCATCCTGTTAATCTATAAAACAGATGCATTAATATACAAAGGGTCTTCAAAAATTTCATGGAAATATTTGTATTTTTTAATTCCATTTTTCTATGAATTTTTTGAAGTACCCTCATATTTTATATGTACTCAGGTATAGGAAAGCAAGTATCTTCAGCATGTACCCCTAAAATGGTAGAATACCTTCTATGTGAATATATGATTTTTAGTTTTTATATTTATCAGAGTTAAAGAGGCTTATTATGAAGAGGTAGCCATTTAACCACTCTGAACTCTAACTTTTTTTTTTTTCATGTGTTGACTTCCTGCTTTGGAAGATTAGAATTTAGCTGCTGTTCTCACTTTCCCCATCACTACTAACACAAGCCTTATTTCTGCCTCCCCATTTTTCTGCTGTGGTTGTCATATTCATTTCAATTACATCAATATTCTGTTTCTTCAGTTGAATGACATACACACTATTCATATCTGGGCTATAATTGGTTTTCCTCTGTTGTACAAGTTTTTGTTTTTCCCAGAATTAATAACTGCCTTGTGTTCACTTGCTTAATTTTCTATATACTTATGATTAATTGAATCGCAAACTACCTGAATTGCAAATATCTTTCTGTTCATTCCAGATATCAGTTTTCCCATTATCTTAATTGAAAGAGGGAGGTAAGCATAAGTTGTGTTTTAGAGCTTTGGTAGAAAGAAAATTCTTAGTTTTAGAATTTAATTGCAAAACCAGAGCAAATGAAAATTATCTTTGTTACTTTTTCTGTTTACTCACATACCCTGTCTAGCTGCAGGTAAACAAATGGTTTTACCTTTATTTCAGCCTAGCTCCCGATAACCAAAAAACTCTGAAGGTATTTGTGAAGAGTCTGTATCCTCATCAATTCTAAACACTGGTCACATAGGGAAATGGGGAGAGCTGTGGAATAGAGACCACAACACTTGGGTTTTTGTTCTGATTTAGTTAATTGGTCTTCTAAATCTAGAATGATCAGTTAACCTACTTGGCCTCAGTTTTCTTTTCTCTGTAATAATGACAAGATCAAAATTGATTATAACTGAGACCTCTTCTAGTTAAAATGTGATTTCAAAGAAATTATTTACTTCAATCCTGACTATATATTTTACCTCTAAATTAAAACTGTTATCATTTTCAGTACTTTTAAAGAAATGCCCTGATATTTAGAGAGAAACTGGATTAAAAGGCCTGAAGTGATACCTAAAGCCTTGCAGAGATGAGGAATTACAAAAGACAAAAATGAACCATGAATGTCATCTTTGTTGTGCTTCAAATTATGATATGGGAATTGTGGTTTTAATTTTCTAAGAGTGCCTAGAAAAAGAAAATTCTAAGGTCACGGAAGCCTCATTGTTTACTACCCAATAGGTTAGATTTGATAAATATAATATGCTCTGAAGTAATTAGTGTGGCTTTTATGATGATTTCTTTAAATTATAGACTTTTGAAGCTACCTGGGTTCTTGGCTTCTGAGAGAGTCCTTGGTGGTCTGTCAGTTTTCAGTTGATGTAACCAAGGGCAGAATGTACTGTTTTTCATTTGCAAGTGTTTTGTTTCACTGTGAATGTTGGTGTGAGAGATATTTGATATTTGGTATACTTAATTCATTTTCAGAAGGCATTAAGGTGGATTATGTACACTTGGAAATGAATTCGTAAGTTTATTGGCTCACCTGTTGCTCTACTTTTACATGTGTTTGATGATGCTGTTACTGTGCCTGAAAAGCAGATATGTAACTTAATATAACAAACAATTGTTCGTAGGTTATTATTATTCATATAATGTATTTTATTGGTTTTCAGGTACTTGAAGAAGCAGAAGCTCAACATTTATATCAGTCCATTTTGCCTGATATGGTGAAAATTGCACTCTGTCTGCCAAATATTTGCACCCAGGTTAGTAGATGTGACTTCCTCAGTAGCTTTCCTGAAACTCAAAAATTGAATTTCCTTTAAACTCTAATGGCCAAGGTTAAAGCCCGAGAGGGAGAAAGATGGAAAACAGTTTTTGCTACAGGATATGGCAATTCTGCTACATTAAAGAAAAGGTTAGAGGCTAGAGAGAATGCTACAAAAGTACATTAAAAATGCAGCATTCAATTTCTGAGCTTCAGGTTATGCTGTTGAAGTTTGTTTACTCAGACTTGTTTTTTATTTAAACAATCTTTTTTTAAAACAATCTTTACCTTTAAAAAAAAAGTAGTCATTATTTTAAAACATACTAATGAGTTTGGAATATTTTGTTTTTGAAATGGCTTAATACAACCCACTGCTTCCTCCTCCTCCCCCTAAACAATGTATTGTTTAACAGATGAGTTTATGGTACTTTCTTAAAAGAAATAATTTGATATTATTACATTTTGTTTGGTGTGCATTAATGATATATTGCTACATAACAAATTACTTCAAAATTTATTGGCTTAAAACAATAACCATTGTTTATCTCCCAGTTGCTGTTAGTCAGGAATTTGGGAGCAGCATTGCTGAGTGGTGGTGGTTCAGGGTCTCTCTTGTGGTTGCAGTCAAGATGTCGGCCAGGGCTGCTGTCTTCTGAAGGCTTGACTGGGGCTGGAGGACCCACTTCTCAGTTGACTCATTCACATAGCTATTGGCAAGAAGCCTCACCATGGGCCTCCCATAGGCTGATTTGGATGTCCTTGTGACATGGTAGCTAACTTCCCCAGAGCAAACAGTCCAAGGGACAGACCAAGGAAGCTGCAGTGCCTTTTTATGACCTAGTTTCTCAAGGCACCCAGCGTCACTTCCACTATTTTTTTATTCATTAGAAGCTAGTTTAGTCACTAAGTCTAGCTCATAGTCAAGGGGAGGGAAATTAGATTCCTCTCTTAAAGAGAGGAGTATCAAAGAATTCATGAACATATTTTCCAGCCTCCATAGGAGATTGTTTTGTTCTTTATAATTTTATTTCTATGTTTCTCAAAACAGTGGCTTGAATTTGCCTTATCTTTTTTTCCTAGGGGCAGCCCCCTCACTGCATGGGTGCTAGCCAGGGTTCTGCTAATACTTTTGCTCCACAGGGGCCCTGCAGGCATTTTGGGTGGAACAATTTCTGAATGTGTGGGGTAGTCCCACTCATTGCAGTATGTCATTTGGACACCCTGAAAACCACAAGCACAGTCATAGAAGCAACCTAAAAAACACCCCACATATGTCCAAATGCCTACTTGGGGCTATGCCACCTTCAGTTGAGAACCACTGAGGGTTTTTCAGTGTGCCACATTTGTTAGCATGTTACTGTGATGTTTCCGATTTTATGTAACTAATTTTTTATGTTGGGCAGGGAAAATATTTTTTAAAACACGTTGCCATCTTGTTTCTCTTGGAAGTTATTTGCTTGATTATATTTCATGGTTCTTTCTATTTCCTTTCTCTCCATTCCTTATGTAGTAAAATCTCTCACTACCTCCTAGCTCTTCCTAACTTGTACTTCCCTTGTGAATCCATCCATGTCCCTCCCAGCCAAGGTTAATCCCTCCCGTAGCACTCAAATCAGACTCCATGTATTGTTTTGTAATCTGTGTTTATGTATCTCCTCCCACTAGATTATGTTATCCTTGAATGGGAGATCTTCTTTGTGTCCCTGGGTTCTGCATGGTGCTTAATTAAATGCTTTTTAAATTCAAGGTGTAGTTCATAATCAACAGTATGAAGCCTTTAGATGCAGATCACTTAATCCTCTTCTTTTCCCCTCATGCTTCAGAGAGAAGGTTTCCAAATTTTATTTAATGAGATAAATTTAGATTCAAAAGCATCTAAATTTGTGAGCTATAGCAAGTTGCTTGGTAGAACCAAAATCAGACTCATGACTCCCCAGCATTTTGTCCTGACTCAGAGCAACTTTCTTCTTTCATTAGTGTATTAATGGGGAGAACATGTTAGTTCTGTTCTGTGTCCTCTACAAAAAAATCACTCTGTGCTGTGAAAATTAAAATTTCAATTTGAGATCAAAATATGTCTTTTGGCAAATTAAATTGCATGTGTTGGTATTTAATCATTTATCACAATGAAATACTTTAGGCCAATTTAAAAAGGTAAATTTTAGATTTATAAAAAGAAAATCAAAGGAAACAAATTTTGGACAGGAACTTTTTGAAATATCTTGGTTCATAGTAACCAGCCGAGTACTTTACAGTTAAGATTTATATCCTGTCTTTTCCACAAATGTGAGTTTTTAGGCATTTGTTTTCACTAAGAAAGCAGAAATCATTTATTCTGTTTAAAATTATACTATTTATTTATTTGAGAGACAAGAAATATTTTTGTCTAATGTCCAGTAATCCTAAAATATTTACCATTACTTTTTAAAATAATTTTTCTGTATAATTTGGTAAATGGTAGTTAAAAACTAGTTTCTCACTAAAACTGAGTACATAACAGTTTGCTTGAAGACATCGACATGTTGTCACCATTTCTAAACTCACTGCTGGGCTGTGAATAAATGTATGGGATAGAAAATGGAGATCAATATAAGCTATGTATTTCCTCTTTCTTAGAAATGATGATTGCTAAGGCCTGAAAAGAGGGAGAATTTTGGATACCATTATAAAAATAAATTCTTTACCTTTTGCTTATTTGTTTCCCTTTGAATTTTTCCAAGAGGGATAGTTGAATTGCAAGTTTAACCTCTTCTATCTTCTAGTGAATTCTTATTCTAGCTTCAGTGTGTGTTTCCTGTTAATTAAAAAAAGATTAATTTTTACAGCATTGCAGTTTTTATTTGTCTTGCTTGCCTTTCCTGAGATTCATTTTGGATGTTGATTCCTGAGGAATGATCAGGACAGTTATCTCTAAGCATGCTTTTTGAGATTAGTGCAGATATTTGGGACTCTTTGTTCTGGGTCTTACTGAAAGGGAGAAGGAAAAGCATCTCTACATATTATGTGAGAGCGTTTTTAAACTTAACAGCTGATGGGTAAACTGTCAGTTAGTCTTTGGTTTTACCAGCATGTCTTTACAAGTTTAAACATTTAAAATAGAATAAAACCCACTGAACACAATACTTTGGTCCCATGGATTATACTGACAATAAAAGGACAATGAATTTGGGTTTGGTACAACTACTAGATGACATTTTAGACTTAAAGAAGTTTGAAGGAACAGTGTCCTGCATCTTCCTTGACTTGTAATGTGTGATTATGTAGGATATGCCTATCTTGTTACTAGTTATACATCAGTCTGTGTGATGGTTTTCACATTCTATTAATTGCTTTAATAGATTTGGGTCTCATAAAGAAATTGTCAATGTGAATTGTGATTCAGAATAAGAGGGAAAAATCTTATTTATTGAGTTATTTTCTTTAGATTATTTTATTTAGGACTAAGAAATATTGCTGTGTACAACAATTTTTTATATAAGTAAACAAAATTGGCATAAGCAGTAATAGCCAAGCTCAATATTATATTTTTCTGTTTCATCTTTTGTTTTAATATTTTATTACATGGGTAATGTGTTTTTATTTATTTGCTGAAGCAATCTTGTTTTTCACTAGTAAGTAATGCTTTGTGTTCTCTTCACTATCATTATTATTGATTAGAAGTCTGCAGTTTGTCAAACAAGCACATTTTTCCAATCTTCCCTGATAAACAGCCCTTGACTTCGACAACATTGCTGATTTAAGGATTCAAGAGTGGCCTGAAATTATTCCTGCCTTAATTTAGCAAATACAATTTGGTGCCTCTGCTTTTGAAATTGCTAAACTAATTACTGCTCTTCTCATCTGTATTTTTTGTTTCCTCTATCAGCCAATACCGCTTCTGAAACAGAAGATGAATCATTCCATCACAATGTCACAGGAACAGATTGCCAGTCTTTTAGCTAATGCTTTCTTCTGCACATTTCCACGACGAAATGCCAAGATGAAATCAGAGTATTCTAGTTACCCAGACATAAACTTCAATCGGTATGTTTTCAGAGAACACCTCTTTAACAATGAAATAGAAATGGGTGGAAGGAACTAATATTTTTTGAGTGATATGCCATGAGCCAAGCATTTTATGTGCCATTATCTAATTTAGTCTTTACAAGTTTGCAGGAAAGGTAACTAAAGTTCATAGTGGTTAAAGAACTTGATTGGGGCCCAGGAGCCAGTCAGTCACAGAACTGAGGTTTCATCTCAGGTCTTACTCCAGTGCCCTCATTCTTTCCATCCTCTCAGATTGTCCTCCTCCTCTGTGTGCTCTGGGTTCCATATGCCTATTCAGTTTGATTATTCACAGGAACATTTGTTGTAGATTATATTCCTTATATGTTGAAACATTGTTAAAACTGGAGTAAAAGTCCTGCTTTCTATAAAGTCTTATAAAGTGAGAGTATAAAGTCATGAGGCTGTCTTATGAGACTTGAAAAATATGCTTGTTTAGATGAAAAGTGAAAGGTGTGACTGACTTTTTATATACATGATTAATTTATCAATGTAATATTTTTAAAAGGAAGACAAAGGAATATCAAGTTATTTGATGAAATACTCTCCACTGTGTGTTAAATACCCTGGGGTTACAGAGAAGGGACAAGCCACTTTCTGAGTTCTTACTCTTATGTACTGTACCTTATTTTTAAACCTCACCACTGCCTGGAATGCCTTTATATCCTCCACAAGGGTTTTATTTCTCCTTCAAGACTCGGATCACTTACCACTTTTTCTGGTATCTCCGATCCTGCTAGCATAGGCTTGCTACTCCTCTGGCTTCTGACAGCCTATATGTACGTCTGTTACATAAAGGAGAGGTGTACAGTACTACGACAGTCTATTAGAGAAGGATATAACTTAATAAAGGAAAAGAGAGGTGATTGCATTCTAGGCAGGGAGAATAGCATGTGCAAAGGAACTGTAGTGAGAAGGACATGACATGCCTAGGGTCTGGGAGAAGGCCACTGGGCTGCAGCACAGAGTGAGAAGGACCATAGAGAGGGGAGAGGCTAAAGGAGTAGGCAGGGTCTGGTCCATGCTGTATCCAGTAGGCCATGTGAAAGCAATGGTAAGTCACTGAAGGATTTGATAGGTGGAGAGAGGGAGACTGGCTCTCATGATCAGATTTACGTTTTCAAAAGTTTATTTTGACTGGAATGTGGGAATCAAGTGGAGAGGGACCAGAGTACATGAGTTTACCCTGTTGGGGAGGCTGTTACAATGCTCCAGGAAAGAGTAGGGGATACTGTAGTGGTGGGGACAGTGTGTGGAGACATTTGAAGGGGCAGTCCATATAATGGTGATGGGCTGGATTGGCAGATGGGTAGAGAGAGGTATCTAGGGTACTTCTTAGGTGTGTACAACCAGATGTGTGCCTTTGGTGTCCTCTACTTTTCCTAGTGTACCACCTACTCTGCTTTGCTATAATTGCTTATTTAATGCTCAAAATGGGACAGGGATCTTGTCTGTTTTGTTTTTTGTTGTTTTCACAAAGTCTCATGTGTTGTAGACCTTCAATAAATTCTTGTTGAATGAATGATAATAAATTCTACAGATGAAACATTTGAGAAATTAGTGACTTGTTTTGAGTTATAGAGCTGATTACTGGCAGAGTACTAAGACTGTACTCTTAGACCCTTTGTTCTCAGTCTACTGTCTTATACTTTCCAAACTCCATCTTATTCTCAGGAATTATGACATTTTATTTTTATGCCACATATAATTAAACAGTTTTAACCTTTGATTTTTTAGTATTTGAGATAGGATTAAGAGAAAACAAGGAGCATTGGTTTCTGCAATTGCAGTTGTGTAAAGAATCTGCTTATTAAGTATAATTTTTTTGCTTATTAGAGAAAGTTATTAAAGACTTTACTAAAAAGGTAGACTAACTAGTAGTTAAGGTCTATGCATCTTTTGCAGATTTTCTTTTTTCCTTCTTTCTTTATTAGTATTTTTTTGGTGGCTGGCCAATATAAGGATCCGAATCTGTGACCTTGATGTTATAAGGCTGTGCTCTAACCAACTGTGCTAACTGACCAGTCTGGTTTTCTTTTTAATATAGAAAAGCAAATGGTCAAATTTTATACATAAGTAAAGAAGTGGAAATTTAATTTTGAAGAAGTATAATTGCCTGTTTACAGAAAGTCTGTTAGTTATATTAGTAGTAAAGACTCTCCAAAGAATAAGTAGTGTTTCTGTTTATTTGCAATAAATGTTTGATCAGATCTAGAATCTGCTAGAATTCAATAAATCATAAAATTTCCAACCAAAATTCTGAAGATAATCCCAGTGGTTCTGGGGTTGTTTTTCATTTTTGGTTAAAAGGTAGCTCTAATTAACGATTTAGAGATACATGTCTCAGTGGCCATTTACAGCTTGTTTCTGTGGAATGAGTAACCAGCTAGTGTATGTGTCATGATGATCCCTAAATAAACCTCTGATGTCTTAATTATAGGCTTTCTCAGAAGACTGGTTCTTTGACTTAATTATAGACTTAAAATTTCTTTAGTAAGAACTTTGTATCCTCTTACTATAAGTTAAGGTTGTATCAGAAAGCTTCTCCTCTAAAAGTTATTTTAAAAAATTTTATTTTTGGTATTTTCAAATATACTTAAAAATAAAGAGAATGGTATAGTTAACCCGTGTTTTAATCATCCAACCTCAATACTTAGTATTTTTTTTCATTCTTTTTTCACCTGTCTAGCCCCCCCTTTTTTTGAATAGAATATTTTAAAGCAAATTCCAGACATTCAGTTTCACCCCTTAATAATTCAGTACTTAAACTCTCCACAGATACCTTTAGTTCTAATTCTTGATTAAATATACATAGTCTTTTCCTCAGAAAAGCTTGAGTCTCTCTGTGGATAACTGTAAATATATATTCCCCTTCAATAAGACAAGGAAAAGCCCAAGAAAGGGAGCAGAAGGTTAAGCAAGATTAGAATCAGCAAATGTAGGTTTTAACAAGAAACAAAAAATTATGTGTAAAATGCAATCTCAATTATATTAAAATATTGGTATCTGTTAATATACCTCAGTGTTCACGTCCACACATGAAGGTGTATAAGCACAGAAAAGGGACTGACAGGAAGATGAATCAAAATATGATTACCATTGGGTGCTGAGATAAACACAACACATTTAACACTTTTACTTCATCCTTGTCTAAATTTTTCAAATTATTTACAGTGAGCATATATGAGTATTTTATATTCAGGAAAAAAAGTAGCTGCTTAAGAGGAAGAACAAGTCAGTCATCAGAAATCTAGCAAAAGACAAAGTTAATTAAAAGAGTGCATGATTTTTGTAATTTGATTTTGAGAGTGGAATCCCACAGGTTTTTTGAGCCTTTTCTAAAAAGCTAGTGTGGGTAGCTGCTTCTTCCTGATACACCTACATAGACATGTTGTCATTGACTCTCCTTCACCCTAACTTTTCTATTCAACGTGTAGAAGAAATAAAATCCAGAGTCCTATGATGGGGGGGGGGCCCACAATGCTGACAGCCTTCTTTCCTCAACAGTAAAGACCCACAGGTGCAGGATGGCTGATGGGCGGAAGTCAAGAAGTCTTACCATGTTCCCTTCACTGCTGAATTGTTTTTTACTTAATCCTCATCTGATTAGGTATTATTGTTAGTCTCATTTTTCAGATGAGGAGATGGAGCTTTAGAGAGGGTAAGCTATTTAACCAAGTTAACACAGTTAGTAACTGGTAGAATTGGGATTCTACCAGGATATATAGTCTGCTTCTAGAAGCTGTTTCTCTTAACCAATCTGCTACACAGTCTCCCTTTGAATGAACCAAATTAATACTGCCTACATCATAGCTAGTCAGAAATTAGAACTACTCTTAGAAATAATTCTTGATCTATTAAATAAATCAAAGCCATTTGTAAGTCCAGAGTGACATGAAGGATTTAAGCTTGCAGTAGGTAGCATTTTCACCAAATAAGAGTTAAGTAGATCTATTGAAGATTTGAAACCAGATATACTCTTTTTTTTTTTTTCCTTTTTGTCTTTTTTCGTGTCCGGCAACGGATTGCAACCCTCAGTGTCACGCCCGTACCGGACCGGGACCGGCAACGGGATCGCAACCCTCGGTGTTGCGTCCGCACCTCGCTCAGCCAGTGAGCGGGAACCGGTCTGTATGTGGGATCCGAACCCTCGGCGGGAGCGCCGCCGCACTCCCAAGCGGCGCACTGTAGCAGTGCGCCACCGGGCCGGCCCCAAAACCAGATATACTCTTGTCTTCCTGGCTGATGATGTTCTTCTTCTTTTTTTTTTTTTTTTTTTTATTGAAACATAGTTGATTGTACATATTTGTGGGGTGCAGCATTGCATATCGCTACCTGTGTGCAGTTTGTGATGCTCAAATCAGGATAATTAGTATATTCAGCATTACACAATGCAATCATTTGGATGTTCTTTTGGATACCAGAACACTGAAAATGAATTAAGGCGGGTAAGCCTGTGATGTTCTCCACAATTGTTGCAGGGAATCCTCAGCAGTCAGAATGCCTGCACTTGTCTACTGCTATGAGATGGTATGTGTTTTAATGAACCTAAACAACTGCACATGACCATTGATGCAGTCTATTGACAACTCACTTTGATTCTATCTATGAAAGTTTCTAGGTAGGGAAGCTTCTATGTTAATAAGGTTCAGGAAATGTAAATGACTTGTGAATAGAATGGGGACTTGACCACTGTTTTCTGCTTAAACTCAGTGCTCAGTGTCTCGCTGGCTCTCAAGGGCAAAATGCTCTGAGAGCACTCCAGAGATGGAAACAACTAGCTCGGGGCCGCTCTTGTCCAGGAAACTGGGCGACCCCAGCATGCTGACAAATCCCACAAACTGAAAGTTCCTCTTTTTCGTGTGGCTTCTGAAAGATCAAGTATCTAATCTGATGAACCATTTGGTAAACTAGTTATGCAGCATTTTGTTGTTGTTGTGTTTCCTTTTTTGCACAGTTTTCTGTTTAAGATTATAGTTTCTTGCAGGTTGGAGGTGTGTGTGTGTGTGTGTGTGTGTGTGTGTGTGTGTGTGTGTGTGTGTGTGTGTGTGTGTGTGTGTGTGTGTGTGTGTGTGTGTATTTAATCTCAAAAGAGATATGCTAGCTAGTTGATTGAATAAGAGAAATGGTAAAAGTATGTGGTGGGAGGCTGATGTCAGTAAATTGAATGTCTTCCTTTTTTATTTATTGTTGTGTTCTTCCAGCCCCACTTAGTTATGTTAAATACTCCTGACCTTTTCCCCTGCTTGCATTTCAGGGCCTAAACATTCGTATAAAGGCTTCAAATGTGATTAGCATTGATGCTTCTGAGATTGCATGGAAACTAGATGGTCAGAGATAAATTGTAGGTCTCAGCAGTGGTCGGCCCAGGAGACTTTTACATCTGCCTCTCCCTGGATTGAAAATGCTGCTGGGGCCATATGGCAGAGTGCCTCACGGAAGAGCCCAGAATGACTTTCTGGCTGGGTTCCGGATTGTCACTTGTTTCTATTTTAAAGTGGAGGTTATAGTGCTTTGGGCTTGATTACTATATACTAATAGGATTAATCCTTAACTTGAAATGGCATGGGGGTATGTGTGTGTCTAGAATCCAATTCCAGTAATGTTATCAATATTCCATTCACAGAAAGATTTTACTAAACTATGTTTCTCTTTATAAGTAGGGAGAGAAAAACACCAGTTTAATAAGTATCTGACCCTTGATTGACTTTTTCCCTTGAAAATTTAGACAGTTTTGTTTAGAACAAAGCAAGGTTGCACTGGCGGCTTTTTCTCTTTGCTTTCTTTAATAACCTGAAATTATCATTCAATTAAATTTCGAAATGTCTTCCTTACATGCAGAGGGGTTATTATGGCTTGTTTATGTGAATATTTACATGCACAGTGCTAACTCAAAATACGCCTTCAAATATATGTATCCAGGATGTGAAAAAGCTAAACTGAAAAAACAAAGGTGTTGGGAAATTAGAAAATAGGATGATGCTTAATTATTATGAAAAGGTCTTACTCACTGAGTCTCCATCTCTGTCTTTTTTCCTGTGTGTCCGTCTCTCATTCCCTCCCTCTGTCTCCAGCCATCTCCCCTGTCCCCCCACCCTTTCTTGGGCTCCATTCTCAGTCCTTTTGTCTCTGCCACTCCCCCCCCACAAGCGCTGTCCCTCAGATTGTACATCACTTTTGTAATGACGTTTATTTGAGCTGTTTGCCTGTGTATTTCCGTTATTTTGACTTGCTTCTATACAAGGGTAATTCATTTTATTTGGGTGGCTGTACGTAGTACTTTAAAATTTCACAACAGCCAAGTCTGAGAATTGTCTCAGGGTTTAAAACCTGCTTCATCTCCCCTGACTTTATCTCCACTTCTCCTCCCAACGCACAGCAGTGCCCCCAGCCCCCATGTGCATTTCCCTGCTCTATCAGGAAGATAGGAAAATGTATATGGTTACACAGTGGTTTGGAATTAGGCTTGGAGCAATGAATAAACAGAATACATTGAGATTCTGCTTGATTTGTACTTTAAAGTTTGGACCTGCAAAATAAGCAGTGGTGCTCATTTGTAGTGGGTGATAATAACAGCCATATAATCTTCCAGGAAAGTCCATATCGCCAGGGTAATAAATCTGCAGTCCCAAGAGGCTCCTAAGGATAATAATTTGTTATCATGGTTATGAAATATGTGAACTTTTATGTGATTTTGCAAACAGCTGACCACATATGGAAGCTAGGGACACTTTTTATTTTGAGGGGAATTATTTCTTAAGGGCAACTGCCATTTTCTCCTCACTGTGCAATATTTCTATTGAAAAGGAACTTTTTCCCCTTAATTGAATTGTATAGTACATCAATTCATCTCTAGAAAAAGGTGGTGATTGCTTTTATATTCATACTGCTTCTCTCTAGTAAGTAGTAAGCCTGGAAGGGGATTTTGCAGTGGAGCCCAAGGTATTCATTTAGTAAATCATATTTATTGATATTGGATGTTTAATTAAACTGCCAAGTGGCGACTTCATTTTGACTCTCATCTTGATTTAAACTCTATTCTAGTTGACATATTTCAGAAGAAACCAAGCTGAAACCTGCACTCTCAAAGAGCCTTTCTTTCAGCTGGCAGCTGGATTTTAAGAGTATGTGTATTGAATATTGTAGAAAGATAAGTTCTTTTAAATGAATAAAAATAGTCACACAGGCATTCTTCTATTTTTAAAAATAGATTAGATTTTTAGATCAGGTCAGAATACTATCTGACATTAATGTTCTTTTTAGGGAGTAAATATTCATATAAATTGTCTTTCCAGAAGTTGACCCTATATACAGATTTCAGATCCTTGAAAACAGGATCATTTGAAATCTGCATTTCCTTCCCTTTTTCTAATTCATTTCAGTCATTCAAAACGATTTCTCATGGAATTAATTTTTCCCTCTCTGTATGGTTACATAAGCTTGCTCTTCTAATCATGAAAAATGTTACCCATTTCAGCACTTATTAAAGTGGACTTTTACTTGAAGCGTTTCTGTTTTTAATGTCAGAGTACATGACTAGAGGCAGATGAATAATATCTCATCATTTACAGCCATTGAGTCTACCTATAATTTTAAAATGCCTTTGGAAAGCTAGATCTTACGCCCAAGGGTATGCTTTTGTGTTAGAAATCTTTTAGTGAACTACTTACTCAGGTCATATGCTTCCAAAGCCCTGCTTTTCTTTCCTCAGGATAAACTGAATTATGTTACCAATAACAATGCCACGTCATTTCAAAGAAAACCAAATTAAGTAGTACAAGTCCATGTTGCTGGAAATTAGATGACATAGGGTAGGCACTGTTCTGGTTACCATGCAAAGGATCTATATTAGTCAGCTTTGGCTGCCATAACGAGATACTGTAGACTGGGTGGCTTAGACAACAGAAATGTATTTTCTCACAGCTCTAGAGGCTAGAAGTCCCAGGTCAAGGTGTTCCTGATGAGGGCTCTCTTTCTGGCTTACAGATGGCTGCCTTCTCGCTGTGTCCTCACATGGCAGAAAGAGCCCTCTGGTGTCTCTTCCTCTTCTTATAAGGACACCAGTCCTATCAGATTAAGGCCCCACCCTTAATGACCTTATTTAACCTTTACCATCTCACAGGCTCTATCTCCAAATACAATGATATTGAGGATTAGGGCTTCAACATATGGATTTTGGGAGGGTAGAAGCATTCTGTCCATAACAGTCTATTTGTTTAGTTACCAAGGACTGCTCAGCCCCCAATATCTTGTTATACATGCCTTTGTCTTTCGCCCCATACCTTCCCCATCACAAATAATCAGATGAGGGTTTTCTTTAGATACTATTTTTGTTCAGCTACTTAACTACTTAGTATGAATTAAAAAGTGTTTGCTATTGGGAAAATAGCTGTGTATTAACTGTGACCCCAATTGGCTTTGGGGTACTACATTGTATCTTCTACCAGGAAGATGGATTGGAGAAATGTGGTGGGTAGAGAGTGTGTCTGACTTAACAGCTTTGAAGAAGCCTGGTTCTCGTTGGTTTCATTTCTCTCCAGATGCTGTTGAAACCAAACCAGTTTTCCAGTTCTCTATCACTGCAGTATTGCCTTCTGGAAGAATTAATCTTTTTATTACTTGGCAGTAGTATAGGTTTAGTGTTTTGTGAGTATCAAGGCATTTTAAATCATCCTCTACCCTCTTTTATTTTTGGTCTCTTTCAGGTTGTTTGAAGGACGTTCATCAAGAAAACCAGAGAAGCTTAAAACACTCTTCTGCTACTTTAGAAGAGTCACAGAGAAAAGTAAATTCCTTTTATTCTACTATAATTTTTCTTGCTGATGGGGACAGTTCAAATCAAGTGACATGTGAAGAACATTCTGTGTTTAAAGTATATGTTCCTGCCTAAACCACGTTGAAACAATAATGATACAATATTATAATCTAGATTTTCTAAGTATGTTGTATATTTACATAAATGTGTGCTATGAATGTGTGTATAATTTTTATATACTCTGAAATCAAACCCATATACTTTGAAATCTGTAATATATATCAAAGAATTTTCATGAGTAAAAACAGTAAATTAATACTCTCAAAAGAAAGTATATTAACCAGGAAGTACATTTTGGATGCTCTTTATTTAAAGAAGCATTAACTAGTTTATGTTTATTTCCATATGTCAGCTAATTCACTTTTTTTCTACCCATTCCCCTCTTTTGTGCCCTCCTAAGCCCTTTGTAGAGCTCTTATAAAATTGCGTTGTACTTAGTGTTTACATGTCTCTCTTCCTTTATTGGACCATAACCATCTTGCTTTTCTAGAACTTGATAGCACCTGAGACCATAGTAGTAAATGTCTATCAGATGCTGGTAATGACCAGCTGATAATAGATTGGTAATGCCACTCTCATCTCAGGATCATTCAGGCTTATAAGACATAAAATCAAATTAGAATTTTTAATAATTTGCTAGAAAGATGACTACTTTTTTTTGCTATTCTAAATCTAAATAGTAATATTATAACTAAATAATTCAGAATTTACTTTTCTGTCCTCGGAGTCAAATTATGTATGTCTTCTCTGAAAGATAACTGCCTTTCTAAGTTTTGGGATTTCAGATACTTCAACGAAAAAGCTAAAAGTTTGTTGCTTCGGTTAGAAATGTAAAAGCTGTCATAAGTATTGGGAATTAGTCATATTGAAGAAATAAATTGTAACTAGACATTTTATTTTCTGGCCTTTTCACCATACATGGAAATTTAGTTCTTTGTAGAAATATAGTTGTGCGCCACATAATGTTTCAGTCAATGACAGACTGCATATACAGTGGTAGTCAGAGCAATAGCCTACATCATATAGCCTAGATGTGTAGTAGGCTACACATGTAGATTTGTGTAAGTGCACTCTGATCTGGGTAAGTGGTGATGTAGTACACAACACCACATTTCTCATAATGTATTTCTGTTGTTAAGCGATGCATGAATAGTGCATCATATAGATGCATGTATAGTGCAACACTGCTTTAGGTTTTCAGGATGTATAGCTAAGGGCGTAAGGAGGAAGTACTAAGGGGGATAAAAGAGGTTTGAAGTTTAACGATTAGTTGTATAGAAGTTCTGGAGCCTACTGAAGAGAGACTTCAGAAACTTACTTAAAATACTATATTTCATCAAATCTAAGACATCATAATGGTAAGAAGTGCCATTACATTATATATCTCTAAGAAGGAAAACACACTCAGGATATGGAGTCTGGTAGGAGACCTATCGCACATAGCTGGTACACCAAAGGTCTGTACCCTTAGTATAAGGTTAAATGAGAAATTAACTTGGCCGTGCAGAAAAAGGAAAATAAAGAAACTTGCAAGTCTCAACTTTAACACTGGATAGAGAGAGGGAAAAAAAAATCTTTGAGAATTTGCACTACAAGCTCCAAATTTAAGGTCTGGAGTAGTACTACTAGTGTGTTCCCCCAAAGGTTTGCAACAGAGGATTTAATTCAGATGGCCTCAGGTTGGTGGTGTCTTTAGACAACAGCAGATGTACATCTTCTCTGGGAAAATTTGACTTTAATCCAGACCTACAGCTAGATACCTCCATTATAAAAGATGTGTTCCAGTTTCAGAAGTTTAATATGTGGAAAAACATGCATCTTAGAATTGAAAAAATATAATTCTATCAGGACTAACTTTTCAGTGTTGTTAAATAATATATATTTTATATTTGTGATGAGGATCTTGAGACAAAGATTTTAAAGAGCCTTCTGAACTAAATTATTTTTGATATAGTTTTAGATAAAGTATCTTATAGATCAAATATTTAAAAACTGATGATCTGAATGTAGTATATATTGTAATTTTATTAAGGGAAGTTTTTATACCCTATTCCAAGATAAAAGGTGCCTTTGTTTAATGGAAGAAAGCTAATAAACATGTGCTCAAGGCATTTTTATCAATAATTATATCTAAGGAACCATGTTCTTCTGCCTTTTTCCTTGCTTTGCCATCAGTGTTTATTTATGAATTTCTTAGTCTCAGTATATATGAAGGACATTTAATGTTCTTACTTCTCTGCTGAATTTATTGAATGACGAGATAGACATTAGTTTCCTATTAATATAATTGCTTCTCTAGTGTTCCAATTGTTTGACCTCTTGTGAGTTTTAAATATGCTACTCATCTGTCTTAAAGATAGATATCTAAAGAATATGTTAAGACCTGTGTTAATGAAAAATTCTGTTTCCTAATAATACAACTGCTCATAGGATTTTTGAGTTGTTACCTCTTGTGACTGAGAGCAAAGAAATGTGTAATTGTCAACAGGAATAAAATAATGGCCAAGCTTTCACTGAGCTCTACACCATCATCAGTAATAGTTCCTGACATGTCTCTCTCTTTGTTTAAGATCCTTTTTTTTTTTTTTGACAGAGGAAAACAGAAATGGCATTGCCTTTTTAGTTTGTTCTTTGATTTGAATCAAACAAATTACTTCTGGCCAGCTGATTTATTTGTTGCTTTTGCCACTAGCTTTAAAAAACAAAGTAAATCTAACCAAAAAAGGATCTTGTCCTCTAAAATTATTGACTGTATTAGTAGTATTTCATTTTGATCCTCTGTAATCTATTGCTTCTTGAAAAATATGTCATCTTTCTTTTCTTAATTCTTAGAACACTAATTTCTCCTCCGGATAGGGTGCCCGCTTGTAAGTAGAGCAGTTGCTGGGGATTTAACTGTGCTAACTCCAAAGGACATGGCAGCGATTTCCTTTCTTAATCTTAGACATTTTCCTTTACAATAAAGCACATAAAGGTGTATCTGTTCACCAGTCTTTGAGTGTAGGATTAAGGCTTTTCTTTGAAAAAAGAGTCTACAAATTGGAATTCAGTTTTGTCTTTACTGCATAAGTTATACTACCAATTATACATCTCTCTTTTTTTTTAAGTGTGTTCAGTTTTAAAAACTCGGCCAAAAAGTACAAGCACTCAAATCCTACTGTTGTGTTGTTATTTGTATAGTTGCTTTAAGTGAGGTCTTTTTTATAGGTGAGTCCATAATATAAAGATATTATTTTAAATCAAGAATCTGTTGTATTCTAACTCTAGGCTTTGTATTCCCTGATTAGTTTTATAGCCATTTTAGACCCATTCTTTTACTGAATATATGTGTGTGTGTATGTGTATGTGTATGTATCATCTTTTCAAAATTTAAACTTATTTGTGTGTGTTTTTCTTTTGTTGCTGTTGTAGAACCTACTGGGTTGGTGACATTTACAAGACAGAGTCTTGAAGATTTTCCAGAGTGGGAAAGGTAATAACAATAAAAATAATCCTAGACCCTTAGATTTAGAAGGACTCTTATACCACAGAGGATTCTGTCTTACAGCCCCTGGAAGGAAAGATGGTTTCCCAGCCTCTAATTGCCCTACTGCCATGAAGTTTCTTCTCATAGTGATCCGTTGATAGCTCTCATTGTTAGAAAGGTCACGCCTTTTAAATCAGTCTACAACCCTTTGACTTCTGCCATTTTTCCTTAGTTTTGACTTTTGAAACAAAGTCCTTTTTAGAATGAAAGAATTTTGTATGTGAAGACACTAATATTAAATGGAACACCAATATTTAAATGTTCCTCCTTACCTCTTTTTGGTTGGTGTTTGTATTTTATAGCTTTTCTTTCTGGAGGACAAGATTGGGAAGCTTTTTCATTAAGCTAAAATGTAAATTATAATAGTCTAGAATTTGTCTGAATGATAAGAATTTTGGAATTTGGCTGTCCATGTGTACTATTGGTAGATTTTGTGGAAGTTGCTAATTTATTTATTTTTTCTTATTTATCTGAAAATACTGAGAACAATAATAGCCATTCTGAGTTAATTCAGATTTGTAAGATCCTTAGTGCTCTGAAATACTTAATATTGGTAGATTTTGTGGAAGTTGCTAATTTATTTATTTTTTCTTATTTATCTGAAAATACTGATAGCCATTCTGAGTTAATTCAGATTTGTAAGATCCTTAGTGCTCTGAAATACTTAACACATTTCCTAATCTAGAGCACATCCCCAATGCACTTAAAGAAGTGTGGATCAACTTTTTCAATATATGTGAGGATATGACCAAGCATACTAAAGGTGTATTTTGCGTATGCACTGATGTTAACCAGTGCTTCTCATTTTCACTTTCTAATAATCTTTATCATAGTTTGTGATTGTTTTGTTTGGAATTAGTGATGTAGGGGAATCACTCTTAAGGGAAGTTAACTTGAGAAGGCATATCTGCTTAGGTGGCATTCCTGTCGTGGTTTCATCCATCAAAGGTGTTTATTTGTGAGGTGAAAGAAAAACAAACTTACTTCAGAAGGCTGAGTACATAGTTGAGATGATTATTAATAGAGGGAAGTAGATAAAAGACTAAACAACCTGAAGAGAGAAAAACAATTGAGCCAGAAAAGAAAGAGGATATGTACAGCATTTTGGAGACATAGCACATTACAGATGAATGGAAATCATCCAGCCCAGCTGCCTACTATATCAATTGGTTGTGTAATACCTGCAACAGATGGAGACTGGAGAGCTTCAGTGATGAGAAATTCACTGTTTCATCTTAGTCTCTTTCACTGTTCGTTGCTTGTGTTATTATCTAATGCTTTCATTCACTAAAAATGTCTGTCTTCTAAATGCCTCCTCCGCCCCCCCATTCCTGGTTCTTCCTTCTGGAGCTACAATAAATAAATATAATTTCTAATGTTCTTTAACATCTGATCCTCTTTTATGTATCTTATAAATGCTTTCTTGACCTAGTTGCATTTCTAACAATGCACACAAGTCCATACTAAACTTACTCACTTCGGTTTCACATATCATTTGGATTCTCACCTTGTTATCTCTGCTCTTGACATACCCCCATTCGTTGGTCCCTCTTAAAATATGGTGCCTAGAGCTAAAAGTAACATTCTCTGTGTCATCTGGCCAGACCACATTCACTCTTCTATTAGTCTCTAATAGGAATGCAGATGTTTTGTTTAGGTAAGTTTAGTATAGATTTTGTAGACCATTCTGAGGGCTTCTTTTTAATTCAGCCCAAGATCTCTACTCTGCATCTGACATGCATTTGGTGCTAATGTGAAAGGGCACCCATTCATACATCACCACGTGGGAGAGAAGAGACAGGTCAAAATGCAGAGGCTAGCAAGGCTGCTGTATCAAAGAGATACAGTAACTTTGCCCCTAAATTAAGACCAAGATTGCCCCCTTAACGTTGATAGGCGGAATTTAACTTGATACCTTTTCTAACTTATTTTTATTTTATTGATCTTTTTTGTTTTAGTTGCTTCATAAGTGAGTTGGAGAATGTAATTAAAATCAGTCTCCCAGACTCCACAGAACCAGAAACATGCATTCACTTAAAGAGGGAGGGTGAAGAAGAGAAGAAGATTGTTGGTGTTCCCAAGAGTAAGGGGCTGTATTGGTGCCAGGGAGTTAGAGGCTTTTGTGAATTCCAAGGTTCCTGGCATGTTATAGTTAACCCTTTGATTATCAGCAAATACCTTAGCCAGGTTTAGTTAATCACAGAGATCCAGAATAGTCTGCCTTTGATTTCTGGGGCAAAAGTGTACAGGATTTGATGGGACCAGAGGGGAAACCTATCAAAGTTGAAGTATGTTTAAAAAACAACAACAAAAAAATAGTTTCTAGCAATTTCTTAATTTTATTGTGAACTATACTATAAAGGTGTCTTGACAGCAGATGGGATTTCTGTTTTGAAGTCCTGACTGACAGCCCAGAGATTTCTGGGTCATGCTTCTTCATAGTTGAGGATGCTGTTTTTCAGTAGTATCTTCACTGGTTGTCTCCTTCTTAATAAAATGGCTAAGAAAGTAGAACCAGAGAAAGGAAGTTAACTAAAAAAACACAAACAAAAAAAACTAATGGTACTATGTTCTACAAGAGAAAGTAATTTTTAAGAAAGAAATTTTTTAAAAAGTATAGCCTGCTGGTTAAGAGCTTGGAACATTCAGTTAGGCCACCTGAGTTCGAATCTTTGCTGCTTGGTTTACTAGCCTTGAGTAGGTTACTTAAATGCTTTCTGTGCTTTGTTTTCCCATTCATAAAAGGAGATAGTAATAGGGTTGTTTTGAAGATTGAATGAGTTAGTACTTATAAAGCTCTTAGAACAAAACCTGTACTGAATTCCCTTGTAAGTTTAAGGATGTCAGTCTTTCGGGGCTGGAGTTTTGCCAGAAATGTATTTGAACTCATTGAAACCAGGAAGGAAGCAAATCTCAGTAAGTAGTTCTTCCCCAGCTAACCTCCTAATTATTTTTTTTAAATGTAATCACCATCCTCTCAACCCCCGCAAAAATTATTGCCACCCTTATATAAGTTAGGAGTTTGGATCTCATCTCTTACATTTTATTATAATTTATACATATTCTCTATTCAGTAAGCGATTTGGGGAAAAAATGTCATCATCAAATGTTATTAATACAATAAAATTTATTTTTAATGTAACGTAAGCCAGGTAAATACCGCAGTGACCATGGTTTATGAAAGGGGAAGAAAATAATTGTGCTTCTGAAAGGACTTACAGGTACTAGGTTCACCTGTCAACCTTATTAATATAAAAAAAACCCATATATCAGAATTTCCATGGTATGTATTTTAATCAAGACACTCCCCCCCACACACACGGTTATCAAAGTAGTGAAAATAGAGCCCATGTGAGAATCATATATGCTTTATTGCCAGATTTTTAAATACTTTTCCTTAGGTTGCCAACTCTAGCATAATAGTAAAATTTTAGAGATCTTAATTTTTTTTATATTTTGAGAAGTTTTTCAACCATCTTAAATAAGAGACACTTATAGAGAGGAAAAGTAGGTTTCAAAACAATATGTTATTCTGTTAATTTAAATATGTATATTTACATATTTGAAAACAAATATTTGGGAAGATCAATACCAAGAATGTTAACAATAGGCATTTGTTTCTGGCTTTTGAGATTTGGGTTGGTGTCGATTTTTTTTATAGCTATCTGTATTTTCAGATTTGTCTGTGGTGAATTACTTGTCATTAAAAAATAAATAAGGGAATATATTTTATATTGTAGATGTGAAAAACCCCTGACGAGATTGCATGTCACTTACGAAGGTACCATAGAAGGAAATGGCCGAGGCATGCTACAGGTAGGTGAATCTCAGTAATCTCTGTAGTGTGTGTATTTAGGGCTTTCTCTTGTCAAACTTCTAACAGCAAAGGAAATTTGAAAAGCTGTTTGTTTGTCTCCTAAACTGATTTAATGCAAAGAAGCATGATAGCAGAATGAAGAAAAACACCAAATAGATCACTTTGACAGCCTTGGTAATGTTGTTATTTGCCAGTGTATGCTCTCTGTTTCTTACATGTGCCTCTTTAAAAAGCCTTTGACAGAAAATCCCAAGATCTGGACAGCATCAGTCCTCTTGGTTCAGACATTGATTGTAGGTTGACAGTGGAAGAAGTCCTGACAAGCTGTCACCAGCCAGTTTTATTGGGTTTTTTTTAAAGACTCTTCCTCTGCCCCAAATGATGACCAGCTTGAGATGTTTTTCTGCCACCAGTAGCCTTGTTTAGGTCTAGGAGGCAGACATCTAAAACTGATTGATAAGAAAGACCTCTGTCTCATATGTAACAGTTTTAGGCACGTGAGCTAGCTATGCTTGCTAATGTCTTTTCCCTTTTAAAGATCAGGTGATTCTGTCCATCCTTTAATCTTTGTCATTAATTCGTTAATTGCCTTTCCTTTTAAAAAATATTTTTGGAGAAGAGGGTTAACAAAACATCGTGTGTATCTAGCTTTAAAATGTTGTAACACCTAAATTGAGCATGTGTTTTCCTTTTTATTTATAGTGATTTTTAAAAATTAAAAATTCTCTAATCAGAGACGAAAGTGTTAGTGTTTTGTGTTCTTATCCCATTCATAAGGACATTGTAAACTTAGTTTTCTTTGAAAGAAGCTTTTATATCATCTTATTTATACTGGAAATAGCTGATTTTTCTTCGTAGATGTTCATTTGAAGCTTATAGTGGGTCGGATGCTAAAAAAGGCAGTTGCCTGAAAATGGACAGATTTATTTGAATAACTTAATGCTTATTATAAAATTACTAGACTGATTTGTGTGTGGCTAGTTACCGTATATATATGTTCCAAGTCACAAATGAAACTGAGATTCTTTTTAGATGGCCTTTTATTTAGGCATATTTATAATTAAAATCTTCAAAGAGGCAAATCACGCTTTGTTTTAAATCACCTTCTCCCAGTGATTATTTGAGCTTATAAATAAAAATACTTAGTCGAACCGAATTAATATTTGTCCTGTACTTTTATAAGAAAAAAAAAAGCATATTTTAATTTGTATTTCATCATATACCTTTTCTTCTATTTAAAAAAATAATATTAAAATATGCTTAAAAATTATTTCAAATGAATATCACTTTTTCCCCACATTTCCTTCTCGATGAAGTTCTTTCCTGTGTTAGTCTTGGATGAAGTGAGGGAGTCTTAATACACATGAACTGAACAAAGCTACTGCTAGTTAGCCCTACTGCGATGCTGACCTTTCATTACACTACAATTCAGAAGGGAATTATTTAACAACAGTCAAGGCTGAGATTTCCCCCGCTTCCCTGGAATATATTACAGATGAAATGTGAGACCACGATAGATTAAAAGAATACCATCAAAGCTTCTAGCACTATTAATTGTTCTCCCTACCCATGCCGTCTCTCCCCAGGAGATCAGGGACTATTGTATTGCAGTGCTGCAAAGCTCCTGTTGTAGAATGTAAATTACATCATGCCGAGTGGCAACAACAACAAAACTTCTCAGAGGAGTATTATCATTTCTCTCTTTTCATTGAGTTATAACTCAGAAGCTGAGTAATCTGAACAAGTAGCTTTAAAGTCAAGAGATGTGGAAAGTGACTGGCTCAAAATAAAGAATCGCTCAGATGCTTGTTTTCATTTCCTGGAACAAGTTTCTCACCTGTTACAGCAAGCCTTTTAGTCAGAACTTTTTTAAGTAGTAGAAACTTTGGTTTTCTAAAAGACCCCTTCTTTTAGAGGCATAATGGGTTAGTGTATTTACTTTTATACACATCTTTCAAGTAATAAATGTCTGCCTTTATTCAAAGATTGAATCGTACGCACATTGGATATATTCCATACCATTGTCAAGTAGTACATAAGTTGGATGGAGCTTATCTTTTTATTTTAGTTATGTACCTTATTCCAGTAAAAATTAAGTTAGGCTGATCTCAACTCTTTTTTTGTTTCTCATTTGTATTCACAATACCATTATGCTTCTAGGCACTCGGCCAGTGCTCAAGTGCAGTTCAGTTTATTTCTTTGCTGGGTCTCCTCTCTTTCCTTTACTTTGCTACTGACCTATTTGAGACCCTAGTTGTGCTTGTCTAAACTACTCAGTAGTCACCTACCCAGCCTCTTTGCTTTTAATTTTACACTTTTTCCAGTTAATTATTTAAACTAGCCTGAAATATCTTCCTAAAACACAGGTTTAGTTGTTACTTGAATCTTTCTTAGAACCTTCAGAATTGAGTAAAAATTCCCTAGACCCCAGACCGCCTTATCACCAGCTGTACCCTCCATATACTCTACATTGCAGGCAGGCATGAGGCATCCGTTTACCGTTCCCCTCATATAGCCATTTCTTTTCTTTGTTTGTCTCGTTTTGGTTTTGGCAGCTGGCTGGTACAGGGATCTGAACCCCTGACCTTGGCGTTATAACACCGCATTCTAGCCAGCTGAGCTAACCAGCCAGTCCCCCTCATATAGATATTTACATTTGGTTTTTTCCCTATGCCCTTGTGCTGCTGTTCCTTTAGCCTTCATGTCAGCTAACTCTGGATTGAATGCCTTGTGTCTTGTAAAGCTCCCCATCCTCCTCCCATTCTCCAGTTTTAGTTAACTGTATTATTTAGGAAGTATCCCATGGTTCCCAACTCAATACTCAGTAAATAGTTGTTGAATTGAACAGTTTAAGCCATGAATCACCCAGTGGCTGAAGACCTCATATGTAGTAGGTAATTAATTCTAATCAGCAGACTAGTTACACCAAAATAGTTTTCTATATAAGCTAAAGAGTTACTCTGGTTTTTTTAGCATTGATTTTAGTACTCCAGAATACAAACCCAAACATGATTCTCTATGGTAGATCATTTCAAGAACTTGTCAGTGGTATGTTTCATTATTTTCTAAGTTCTTTGGTAAAAGAAGACTACTACTTTGAATTAATTAATTTTAGTTACATTGCAAAGTTAATTTCTGTCTTTTCACATGTATTTATATTCTTGTTTTACTCTTTTATAAAGTAGGCTTGACATTATTATTCAGTGTCAGTTGCTTTATGGAACATAACAAGTTTTAAGAAGTCCTATATTTTACAATAGTTTGAGAGTATATAAGCCTCTATTATAGTATGTAGTAAATTCTGTATTATTTGTGTGTATGACTGTGTATGTATACAACAAGTTGTGTCTATGTGTGTAATATAAATCCTCAGAATAATCTAAGGCAAAGATGGACACCATTTCTTACATATTCCCCTACAGGGCCTAGCATAGCATTGGACACATTGGAGTGGTTAGTAAGTTTAAGACTAACTGAAATAATGCCAGCAGGTTGAGTTTGCTTTCTCTTGAGGATTGTGTAACTCCTATGTATTAACAGGAGTTTGGGTATCTCATCATAGTACTTCATATAAGGTTTCGTATAGTTTCATATTAAATCAGAAATATTAGTTTAGTTGGATCTTTGTTGTTATACTAGGTTTTCTTTCTTCTTTTTCTTCCTTTAGGTCTATTTTTAAAAACTATGAATGTTTATGCGGTTTGGGGTTAAATTTAGAAGGACAAGAATTTCATTCTTTTATTCTTCCCACAGAAGAAAAAGGTTACCCCAAAAGAGGTCAATGACTAAGCTCTTCAGTTCTGTAGGACAAGTGTTTGATTGCCATATTATATAAGAAAGATTTAATTATATTAAAGTGATATGAAATGTATAAAGGGAAATTGAGTAGTGAAGGTAGAGAAATGACCTTGAAACCTGCCCAGATAAAGACCTCTTTTGTTTTTGTTTTGTGGCCCTTGGGGCACAAAGGTTTATAAACAAGAGTCCATATAATACATATTTTTCCTAAAAGCTCCATTTTCCACATTCCTTCTGTGGTTTGGGGATCCAGAGAAATATGCAGACATGTTAACTGCAATGAGATTGAAAGAATGCAAACAGCTGTAATCTGTCCTTGGAAAGATTACTAATTTGGGGATTGATTTTCATGGAAAAGGAAAAGAAGATTAGAGCTTAGAGGGTGTGTGCTCCTTTCTCATATATGTAGGTATGTTAGACCACCATTTAACATGCCGCATTTTCCCAAATAGGTGGATTTTGCAAATCGTTTTGTTGGAGGTGGTGTAACCAGTGCAGGACTTGTGCAAGAAGAAATCCGCTTTTTAATCAATCCTGAGTTGATTGTTTCACGGCTCTTCACTGAGGTGCTGGATCACAATGAATGTCTTATTATCACAGGTTAGTTTTGGGACGTCTGCACAATGGGAGTAGTTTTCCGATCTATGAATGTCTGTTATGAAGACTAGAGGCCACCCAGGTACAGCTTTTCTCTGCCATGGGCACTAGTTCCAATATTTTTATTCATTAATATATACTTGCTTTTTGAAATTGTTACAGTCTTATTTTCCTATTCTTGAGTAAGACATTTTATCCCTTTTTTCTTGGCATCTTTATCCGAGGAACAGGGGTAAAAACTATTCAGTTACCCTACAGTTTGAAATTTTATGATATAATAATGTTGTTAAAAAGAAGATAGTGATATACCTTTGAGTGTGTATTCTATTGTTACTCTTCCATTATATTTTGAGTGACTTATTTCAATTAAAAAATTAATTTTTTTAAAAATAGTGATTTGTTGTACTTCAATAGGAAGATACTATGTAAATATAAAAGCAGTTACAACATTTGGAGAGACCATACAACAGTGAGCTTTACAGAAGAGAAATAAATCAGTAACCTTATGTTTATCCTAATTTCTAATTCTAAAATAAAAGGTATGATTACCTTAGTGCCTCTCCTTGATTTCTTTAAGATAATATGGGAGGAGAAGAGGGGAAATTTAGTCAAATTCATACTTTAGGTCTGTTATAGAGATTTAAATTTTTTTCTTTAAAGTTTCTTTAGACTGAGATATCACTATGTCGCAGTATTTTCTTGTAAATGGGCTACAAAAAAAATTAGTGATTACCTTATAGCTCTTAAGAGATTTAAATTTTTTTCTTTAAAGTTTCTTTAGACTGAGATATCACTATGTCGCAGTATTTTATCGTAAATGGGCTACAAAAAAAATTAGTGATTACCTTATAGCTCTTAAGAAACTCTTTTTTTTTTTCCTTTTTGTCTTTTTTACTGACCGGTAACGGGATCGCAACCCTCGGTATCGCGCCTGCACCGGGGACCGGCAACGGGATCGCAACCCTCGGTGTTGCACCCGCAGCATGCTCAGCCAGTGAGCGGGAACCGGTCTCCACATGGGATCTGAACCCTCGGCGGGAGCGCCGCTGTGCTCCCAAGCGGCGCACTCTCCACTGCGTCACCGGGCCGGCCCTGTTATTGTACTTTTCTTTTTTTTTTTTTGTCTTTTTTACTGACCGGTAACGGGATCGCAACCCTCGGTATCGCGCCTGCACCGGGGACCGGCAACGGGATCGCAACCCTCGGTGTTGCACCCGCAGCATGCTCAGCCAGTGAG